ATGTTGCTAACTTTGGCAATTAGTTTGTGTAAGCCCTCAGTCGTACAGGGATTAGTCAAAGCATCATCTGTACTTCTTAGCAAGTTTTCCCGACGTTTCGTCCTCAAACTAGCGGACTTCTTCAGGGAATGAATTCTCGGACCGCGCGTTGGAGATTTATAACCTATGGGTGTGGTTAGCCACACCCTAATCCTGATACTAAGGCCCTGTTTATACTGAGACGCTGCGCAGACGTTTCCAGGCTATTAACAGAAACGACCAGGCTCCTAATGCAAATTTCTCAGCGTTCACATGAGGTTGAAAAACCATGTAGTTCTAGCGCCCGGCCAGTAGTGGGCAGAGAAACTTTACAACACTCACGCGACCCCCAGCCCCGTGCCCAGCCCCCCTCTCGGCAGTATATTCACTTCCTGTGCCAGACCCTCAGAACGCACCAACATCATTCTGCATTTTAACAGCAGCTGTGAACATGGAAACTGAACCTAGAGCTTCGCGTGGTCTCGTTTGGACGAACGAAGGAGTAGAATTATCCTCTGTCCCGCGCTGGAAGCCCACGAAGCTAGTTAGTGCGCGCGGCGCCATTTTTGTTTTTGTTTGTTCTCCGCTACTGCGCATGTCCAAATTTACGTGCGGGGAGCAGCACGGAGGTGGGGGTCAGAGCAGAGGGGGATTTCACACCTTTTCCCTCTCGCTGGTGTGAAAGAGAGCCCCCGCTGTGCAGCGTTTCTGAGTTGTCCCACTCTGCAGGCTGGATCTGAACACTTACGTTTTCACCCCCCTGGAACGCAGTCTTCGTATGAACGGTTGGTAGCAACCGACATCCAACTATACCATTTTACTGCCACATTGTCTCCGTGTAAACTCAGCCTAACTCATAAACAATCTAAGGTCTGTTTGATGTAGAAAGGAGCAGATCTAACGACCCTGCTGAGGCTAACGACCCTAACTCCTTAGCATGTCACAGACCTATTGTCTGCTGGGATGCTCAAGTGGAGTGCAGGTCTCACCCCTCCTAACTCATTAGCATGTCACTGACCTTGTCCCAAGTTAGGGCGTTGTTTTTAGGATGTTGTCATAGATGCGAGGCAAAACAAATCTTAACCCTCCTCCTCTGTTAAGAGAAGGTCTTTGTTTCCTCACAAAAATGGCTTCTTTCACCCCTCTCTCAAACCAATTCTTCTCCCGAGCCAGAATTTTAACCTCTGTGTCATCCACCGTGTGGTTGGAGGCCTTGAGGTGGAGATGAACAGCCGACTGTGGCCCACTAGAGTTTTCTCTACGATGTTGGTAAAGTCGTTTCTGTAGAGTTTGTTTGGTTTCTCCAATATAGTGGTCAGTGCACTCCTCTTCACTACATTTAATTGAATACACCACATTGCTCTGTTTGTGTCTGGGTGTTTTGTCTTGCACTAATTTCTGTCTTAACGTGTTGAAAGGTTTGAAATACACAGGGATTTTGTGTTGCCTAAAAAACAGCTGACCACATCTGTGAAATACTTGAAATGTGTCTTAACACCACGTATTTCCAATTTAGAGGCACCTTCTTTAGACAGATTCATGGCTGTGCGATGGGCTCCCCAGTCTCTCCTATAGTGGCCAATCTGTATATGGAGAAACTGGAGGAACAAGCCCTGGGCTCTTACCAAGGGACAGCGCCAAGCCATTGGTTTCGATATGTAGACGATACATGGGTTAAGTTAAAGAAACAGGAAGTGGAACCATTTTCAGAACACATTAATTCGGTGGACCCTTTTATAAATTTAACTCGCGAGGATGCTAAGGAGAGTGAACTCGCCTTTCTAGATAGTAAGGTCATCATACTGGAGAACGGACAATTAGAGACTGAGGTCTTCAGAAAGTCCACTCACACTGACCAGTACCTGGCCTTTGATTCAAATCATCCGCTACAACACAAACTCGGGGTCATTAGAACGCTTCAACACCGAGCCCCACCAGGTCCCCACAAGCTCGGAGGGAAAGAACAGAGAAACCAAACATGTTCAGAGAGCACTTTCCAGATGTGGCTACCCCAAGTGGTCTTTTACTAAAGCCCAAAGGACGAGAAAGGCGAGCGACACAGTCCAACGGACAGAAGAAAGTAGGAGGAGAGGGGTGTCCTTACCGTATGTGGCGGGAGTTTCAGAGAAACTACAAAGAATCTTTAGGCAACACAAAATCCCTGTGTATTTCAAACCTTTCAACACGTTAAGACAGAAATTAGTGCATCCCAAAGACAAAACACCCAGACACAAACAGAGCAATGTGGTGTATTCAATTAAATGTAGTGAAGAGGAGTGCACTGACCACTATATTGGAGAAACCAAACAAACTCTACAGAAACGACTTTACCAACATCGTAGAGAAAACTCTAGTGGGCCACAGTCGGCTGTTCATCTCCACCTCAAGGCCTCCAACCACACGGTGGATGACACAGAGGTTAAAATTCTGGCTCGGGAGAAGAATTGGTTTGAGAGAGGGGTGAAAGAAGCCATTTTTGTGAGGAAACAAAAACCTTCTCTTAACAGAGGAGGAGGGTTAAGATTTGTTTTGCCTCGCATCTATGACAACATCCTAAAAACAACGCCCTAACTTGGGACAAGGTCAGTGACATGCTAATAAGTTAGGAGGGGTGAGACCTGCACTCCACTTGAGCATCCCAGCAGACAATAGGTCTGTGACATGCTAATGAGTTAGGGTCGTTAGCCTCAGCAGGGTCGTTAGACCTGCTCCCTTCTACATCTAACAGACCTTAGATTGTTTATGAGTTATTTATTTATTTATTGTTGTTTGAGGACGAAACGTCGGGAAAACTTTCTAAGAAGTACAGATGATGGGTGAGAAACCTTCCTTTGCTTTAACTTTGGCAATGTTTTTTAGATGGTAAAAAGCTGCTGATGTTACTGATTTGATGTGGCTATTGAAATTTAGGTCTGAGTCCAGTATTACCCCTAGATTTCTGACCTTGTTTGAAGGTTTTAGGGAGAGAGAGACTGGAGGTGACAGATGACGCTCTCTCTTTGTTTCTGGGGACCAAAGACAATCATTTCAGTTTTGTCTGCGTTTAGATGAAGGAAGTTGTTTTGCATCCACTCACTGATCTGTTGGATACAGTGAAGGAGTGAGTCCACTGGTCCATGTTCTCCTGCAGTCAGTGAGACATAGATCTGAGTGTCGTCAGCATAGTTGTGATAGGACACTTTGTTTCTGCGTATTAACTGACCTAACGGCAGCATGTAGAGATTGAACAGAAGAGGTCCTAGGATCGACCCCTGTGGTACTCCACAGGTCAGGGCCATATGATCTGAGACACAGTTTCCAATCTCCAAAGTACTTCCGTCTCTCTCTGGTCTCTCTTTCTGGCCTCTCTCTCTCTCTGGTCTCTCTCTGTTCTCTCTCCGGTCTCTCTCTGGTCTCTCCCTGGTCTCTCTCTGGCCTCTCTCTGTTCTCTCTCTGGTCTCTCTCTGGTCTCTCTCTGGTCTCTCTCTGGCCTCTCTCTGTTCTCTCTCTGGTCTCTTTCTCTGGCCTCTCTCTGGTCTCTCTCTGGTCTCTCTCTGTTCTCTCTCTGGCCTCTCTCTCTCTGGTATCTCTCTGGTCTCTCTCTGGCCTCTCTCTGGTCTCTCTCTCTCTGGTCTCTCTCTGGTCTTTCTATAAACCTGGGTTCACTGGTGTGAGTCTGGGTGAGGCGCAGATGTGCCGGGGGCTCATTAGCCGGGTGCCCCTCCCTCACAGCTGCTCACATCCACATGGTCCAACTCCAAAACCTGTCACTAGTAAAGTTCAAAGAGAGAACACCTACACTCCATGATTATTCTGCAGTCTGATCATAGACTGTATACAGATGGACAATGCGAACCTGCTAGCTCCAACTCGCTCTTGCTCCTATTGACTTACATTGAAAAGCTAACTCCTCTAAAACCGGATTGATCCTGGTCTTTATAATGTGATATTGTCTTGGTAAATCAAGATATCGCAGGAGAAACTTCAGCTTGCCTTAGCAACCGTCTTGGCAACACATCTGTTAATGCGGGAGGAAATTGGCTCCAGCTAGCTTATGTTAGCATTAATGCTAACACTATGGTGCAGTCAGAACTCAGTCCAGATGCATCTAAATGATTGGTCTTAGTCTGACGTAGTATTAAAGCAGCATTTAATATGTATGCTGCTAAAATCTGGAACTTTCTTCCTGAAAATGTGAGACAGGCTTCTTCTCTGGCAGTGCTCAAATTCAGGTTAAAAACAGGTAGCTCTCTTTTATTTTTGAATGCTTTGTGTGACTGTTTCCATCTTGTTTTGCTCAGAACTTTGAGGTGCCTTGCGTATGAACTGTGCTGATGTATCTCGACAACTCAACACACAACAACACACAAACACATAATATAATCGCTTGAATGCAGACGTTTTTAACTTAGTTTTTGTGACTTAAAACCTTTGTGAATTAAAAACCGCTCTGGTCTCCCTCTCTGCTCTCTCTGGTCTCTCTCTCTCTCGCTCTCTCTCTGATTTTTCTGTCTCTCTCTCTTTCTGGTCTCTCTCCCTGGTCTGTCTCTGTTCTCATGGTTTGTCTCTGGTCTCTCTCTCTGCTCTCTCCGGTCTCTCTGGTATCTCTCTCTGGTCTCTCTCTTTGGGGTCACTCTCTGGTCTCTCTCTCTAACTTAGTTTTTGTGACTTAAAACCTTAATTAAAACAAAATTTGCCATTTATCATCACTTCTTGCAGTGCAGAACTATCTTTTAACCTGGATTGAAAGCAGGTCTCCCATCTCTCACCTGAAAGCTCATGAAACCAAAGCCATAGACTCCGATATGTTCAGTCCTCTGCTTGTGTGATTGCGTTTGCCAGTTTTTACATTTGTGAAGATGAATTTTGTTTGTCAACCCGAGGCCGAGGGACGGGAGAAGGATTAGTGAGGGCGACAGGAGGCAGATATGAAGATAAAGATGGATGGTGTTTCCCGTCTTAGTTCATGGCAGCTTCTCCGGGACTCATTTACAGCGTCGTGTATGAAGCGGCAAAATGTAGCGGAAGACAAACAAGCAGAGAGCGTGGCGGCCCTTAACAGGATGGATCAGCTGCTTCTGGGAGCGGCGGTAGGAAAAAAATATGTTATAGTTTCAGGTTTTTTGCCATTTACTGTAAAACCACATTGGAATACATGCGCACCAGACAAATACATAGATAAAACAAGCTAAATAATTATAAGAACTACTCTCTCTGGTCTGTCTCTCTAAGTTAGTAAGTAAGTAATATTTATTCATATAGCGCCTTTCTCAGACCAGAGTCACAAAGCGGTTTACAATTGTGGGCATTTGTGTGTCACTCCACACAGAGATGGGAGCGGGGCCAGTACAGGAGGCACATGCCAGATCTGTTGGACATGTTTTTAGTGGTAGGGGAAACCGGAGCACCCGGAGGAAACCTACACAGACACAGGGAGAACATGCAAACTCCACTCATGTTCCATTAAACAGCCACTGTTTAATGGAACAGACTGGAATGGTCTAGTCTCTCTCTCTCTGGTCTCTCTCTGGTCTGTCTTTGGTCTCTGTCTCTGGTCTCTCTCTCTGGTCTGTCTCTGGTCTCTCTCTCTGGTCTGTCTCTGGTCTGTCTCTGGTCTCTCTCTCTGGTCTGTCTCTGGTCTCTCTCTGGTCTGTCTCTGGTCTCTCTCTGGTCTCTCTCTGGTCTGTCTCTGGTCTCTCTCTGGTCTCTCTCTGGTCTCTCTCTCTGGTCTCTCTCTGGTCTGTCTCTGGTCTCTCTCTGGTCTGTCTCTGGTCTCTCTCTCTGGTCTGTCTCTGGTCTCTCTCTCTGGTCTGTCTCTGGTCTCTCTCTGGTCTGTCTCTGGTCTCTCTCTCTGGTCTGTCTTTGGTCTCTCTCTGATCTCTCACTGGTCTCTCTCTGCTCTCCCTCTGGTCTGTCTCTGGTCTCTCTCTCTGGTCTGTCTCTGGTCTCTCTCTCTGCTCTCCCTCTGGTCTGTCTCTGGTCTCTCTCTCTGGTCTGTCTCTGGTCTCTCTCTCTGGTCTGTCTCTGATCTCTCTCTGCTCTCTCTCTGGTCTCTCTCTCTGGTCTGTCTCTGGTCTCTCTCTCTGCTCTCCCTCTGGTCTGTCTCTGGTCTCTCTCTCTGGTCTGTCTCTGGTCTCTCTCTCTGGTCTGTCTCTGATCTCTCTCTGCTCTCTCTCTGGTCTCTCTCTCTCTGTTCTCTCTTGTCTGTCTCTGATCTCTCTCTGGTCTCTCTCTGGTCTCTCTCTCTCTGGTCTGTCTCTGGTCTCTCTCTCTCTACTCTTTCTCTCCCTCTGGCCTTTTTCCTCCCTGTACTTTTTGCTAATTCTCCCGCTCTGCCTGATGTGTTTTGGTGGAGTCAGTCTGTAACGATTGACTGTTAGCTTCTTCACCAAAACACGGTCCGGGTGTGAGCGCTAATGCTGCGGCGCCGGGATCAATAATGATTTATGTGGTGATCGGCAGAGACGCTCCCGTGTAGAGACCAGGCCAGCACTACAGCATGAGCTCACACAGTACTGGATACACACACAGGATACACTTTATGACCACATTTACAACCACTAACAACACACACACTGCAGAAAATGACAAAATGTTAGCCAGTCTGTGCTTGAATTATACAGGATTGAGATTTGATTTCAAGTTGCTTCCATCAGGAACATTATAAAAGCAAGCTTCACTTAAAATCTTTTGCCCAAACTGCTATTCGGTCGATTCAGATGTTTTTTTTATTGTGCGTTTAAAGAAGAAGTATGTAGAAAATATGGCCAAAAGCGGTTCTGCAACCTCTCCCACTCTCTCAGATTCAGATTCAGAAAACTTTATTCATCCTAAAGGGAAATTCATTTGCAGCATAATCTCAAAGCAGAACACACACACCACAAACACACAGTGAGTCAGGCAGGTTACACAACTTAAGTTAAAAACAACAACGAACAACACAATTCCCAAAAGTCAACCACCTCTACCAGAGTTCAACAGTTTTATGGCAGACGGCACAAAAGAATTGAAAAAACGGTTTGTTTTCTGGGCTGGAGCATAAAAACGACGCATCATTACAAAGCCAGCGATCAGAGGATGTTTGGGCTGAGCCAGAATACGTTTTGCTTTAATCAGCACCTCCCACAGAGATTGAAGGTCTCTGAGTTTTCCTCCAGTGATTTTAGAGCAAGTTCTCAAAATACTCTGTGACTTGTTTCTGTCTTTCAGTGTCAGTTCATAAAACGCCAGGTAGCTTTACGGGTCGCACACTGTGAAGCGTCCCCCGAACAATACCCTGACTCAGGTTGCCAGATATGCAGACAAATCTGAATAATGAGTTTTGTCAACAACAAATCTATAACCAACACCTTTTTTCACAAAGATAGAAATCCTGGTTTTATTCCTCGTTTTGTCGTTATTGATTTGGGATTCATAACGAGACCTTTTTTAGTTCTGCGGCCACATGGTACTTTACAAGTGAGATTAGCTCGACGCGGTGAGTTCTGGCAACCCGGATCACGGACTTTCTGATTGGTGAAACGTTGGAGGGCGGGACAGTGCTATATTTCTGACCACACTATCGTACTTTTATGTACAGTACGTATTTGTCAACAATCACAGATTTAAAATAGTCTCTTGGCGTAAAGATGACCAGTAAGCTTGAGGTTAACTGTAAAACCAATGACAAGGGGCCTTACGAATTTGTCTTAATTTTGTCCAATCAGGAGGCTGTGGGGGTGAGCCTGGGCGGGGCTAACCAGTGCTCATCTGAAAACAGTTTTACTCTCTCTTCAGTGTTTGAAAAGTAGCTGTAATTCCCAATGCTAATACTGTATGTTATGAGTTTCTGTCCTGTCAGATTCCTTTTATTTGCCAAGTGCAGTATAAAAGACCACATTGGAATACATTTGCAAAAAACGGTACTCTGTGTGCACCGACAGAATAAAGAGCACAATACAATGTAATATAAAATACACATACACTGAACATAAATAAAAACAGCTGACACCGATTGACAAAAAAACAATACAAGGGGTAAAAGCAAGAGCTCAAGTAAACGCTATCGTTGACAATTCGAGTAGTTTTCCTTTGTTCAAATGATATATTATTCAGCTCGATGTTATGTGTGAGATAATGGAGGGAAAAAACACAGCAGGGATTAAAGTAAAAGCCCCTTTGCTATTGATTTCCTCTATTAAGTTATTAGCTCTCAGATAAAGAGGCTTTTAGGCCCCTCCGACAAATGAGGCCTGAAGGAAATGGCCTCTATCGGACACATGTGCTGAGTCATGGTCGTTTATGGCGGGGGTGATGTGTTCTAAAAATAACCCACAATAATTGGTGAAATCCTTGAAGTTGCAGCTGTATGTTTTGAGGGGGTAAAAAATCTCACACAGACTTTATAACCTTTTCTGACCACCTGAACTCACGACTGCTGAAGTGAGAGAGACCAGGGATGTCAAATCTGCTGGTTGTGGGTCTGACGCTGCTGCAGCTGTCAAAAGCTGTGTGTACTTTGTAAAATACTGCTGCAGAGGAGAGCGCGCTGAAGGGCAGGAGCAGGACTGAGGGCTATGGGAAGACCAAAGAGACAAGAGAGAGACCAGAGTGAAAGAACAGAGTCAGAGAAAGACCAGAGAGAGACGAGAGAGACCAGAGAGAGACCAGAGTGAAAGAACAGAGTCAGAGAAAGACCAGAGAGAGACGAGAGAGACCAGAGAGAGACCAGAGTGAAAGAACAAAGTCAGAGAAAGACCAGAGAGAGACCAGAGAGAGACCAGAGAGAGACCAGAGAGAGACCAGAGAGAGACCAGAGAGAGACCACAGAGAGACCAGAGAGAGAGAAAGGACAGACACAAAGAAAGGCCAGAGAGGTATCAGAGATAGAGAGACCCAGAGAGAGAGACTGGTAAAGTGGTCCAGTCTCTCGAAGATCCACGGTGCTACGGTATCATTACATCTAGGCGGATCCTGACTTTTCTACATTTTACACATCCACACCGGGACTTTCTTAAAGGAGTTTGCTTGTTCTCCTCGTGTGTGGTCGTTTTTCTGATTCTCTACACATGGGGGATAAAAGCATATTTCTTAACTTCCTCATTGTATGTTATTATGTCAGTGGTTCTTTCGGCACCCCCTCTGCTGTTGCCGTTAGCTCCTCTTTGCTAGCATCACTAACACTGCCCTCTCTATCTCTAAACAGTCGCCCTCATTACCACAAGTTTGAACATTGAACCATTAGTAGATCTTATAATTCATTCCTACATTTCCCATTGTAACGAATGAGCGGCAGCGGCGCTAACACCGAAAGGGACGTTGAAATCTACTTTTAGCGCCGTGCTGTCGTGCAATTAGACTAAATTAGCTCCCACGGTTTTAACACAATCCCATTTGGCAGCGAGGTTTCCGGGCTGCCGTGGGTTTCATCGAGCTAATGGAGGGTTCTGACCTCGAAACGCAATTTAATAAAAGAAATGCGACGCCTCTCCCGGTACGACCTCCTCGCCGTGACTCGACTGAGTTACAATCTCCTATATTTGTACAGTCAATGTTTTTGTTTCCTCGCCATTACATGTAGTAGTTATTAATCTTACGGTCTAGCAGCAGCAGTAGAAGCAGCAGCAGCAGCAGCAGCAGTAGCACTAACGTTTATGGAGTCATTATCAAACCTGAAATGATCCATGACGTAATGTCTCCTACTCCAGCTTTAAATCAGGGCGAGGAGCAAAACTGAACCTGCGAGACGGTTTATCCCCTGCCAGAGAATAATAAAAGAAGAAATAGATGCGTGTGATGTGAGAAAGAAGTTAAGAATGTAAAATAATAGCTCTGTCACGAGATATAAATCAGAGTTAGAATTATTGTTGTTGCCGTTGTAGGTAACAGGAAGTCACACACAAGAAATTGGCTTTCAGAGAGAAGTCTTTGTGATAATACGTGCGTTTGTAAGTTTAATAATGTTAAATAATAATGTGAACTAGGTGCAGCTCCGACTGCCACCCCCGACCCAGAAATGGATTAAGGGGAAGAAGTAGATGGATGGGTTTTTCATATAAAGCTTTTCAGGGCTCTCAAACGGTGGTGATAAACTACTACTATAGCCACAGCTGCCCTGGGCCACACTGACAGAAGCAAGGCCAGCAGTCTGTGCTATCATTCTCTCCCGCCACACACCAGACTCATTCTAATGTGGGTGAAGTGTCTTGCCTAAAGACACAATGACAGTTTGGCACTTTACAGCCGCAGCCGCCCCACTGTGGCAGGTTTAGTTCAACGCTTAGTTCAATATTTTCTAGATGATGGTAATATTTGCCCCGTGTGCAGATTCCCCCAGGTGAGCAGTGGATGTCTGAGGCTTCTCCAGAGTAACCATTGGCCTCTTGTCTGCATCTGTGATCAGTTGTATTGCATTGCCCTATGTTTTGTGTATTTAATGCAACATAAAAACTGAATTTCACAGTTTTGTTTATGTCCAGCCTCACGTTTAAACTCTTAATTGTTTTGTTAAGCACTTTGAGTTGCTATGTGTATGAATTCGTGCTATACAAATAAACTTGCCTTGCGTTGTGCCTTTACTGATCTCGGCGCTCGCTGTGTTCCAGGTGGGATCGCGGGAGGCATCGAGATCTGCATCACTTTCCCCACAGAGTATGTGAAGACGCAGTTGCAGCTGGACGAGAAGGCCAACCCGCCCAAATACAGAGGGATAGGTGAGTGTCTGTTCCTCTTCCAATCCACCGCCGCCGTCTCAGAGGAGCTCATTATCTAATTACCCATCATGCCTGGCTACATTAGGAAGTCTGGCAGGCTGTCACCGTTCTTGTTTATATGACATAAAACAGACCAGTGCACACGGCTTTCTCAGTTTCTCGGTCTGTTCTAATGAGATCCGCAGCAGCTGTTGCATCTCTGCGTCGGTAAGTAAGGAGCAATAAAACTGAACCAAAGAAATACTTTTAAAAACACATATGCATCGAGAAGACCCGGGTTTAAGACCACAGAGAAGGCCCTGTGCTCTGGGTTTAAGACCACAGAGAAGGCCCTGTGCTCTGGGGCTAAGACCACAGAGAAGACCCTGTCTCTGGGTTTAGGACCACAGAGAAGGTCCTGTGCTCTGGGGTTAAGACCACAGAGAAGGTCCTGGACTCTGGGTTTAAGACCACTAGGCCCTGGACTCTGGGTTTAAGACTACAGAGAAGTAAGCTTTGATTAAAATCTTCCCTGCCACAGTGATTAGTCAATTAATTGTGTCTATGCAGCTATAGCTACATTTTGGTGTCCGCAATTGATAAATACACTTTTTAAAACATAAGCCAATAGTCTCTTTTTCGGCAGCAGCTTATTTAATCAAAATCAGAAAATCTCCAATTAGTTCAAATTAGTTAAAATGTGTTCAAATTTGTTTTCCAATGCACAAATGAAGTCCTCTTTTGACTCCTGCGATAGATGTTAGCGACAGTCTGACTGTGGGGTTTCAGATTCACATGAACTTATTTATGTTTTTATTGTTTTTAATTGTTTTTATTTCATACATCTTAGTGTTTTATGGATCTTTAACTGTGTGTACAACCTGTATATGACATTGAAATCTTCCCCACTGATGGACATATGAATTTGTATCCCATCTTATCTAATCTCATCTTCAAACTTGTTACATTTGTTTCATATAAAGTGCCATACAGATAAAGCAGATTGGCTGAAACTGTTGTTATGTGTTTGCAGGTGACTGTGTGAAGCAGACGGTGCAGAGTCACGGGGTCAGAGGTCTCTACAGGGGTCTCAGCTCTCTGCTCTACGGATCCATTCCCAAATCCGCCGTCAGGTCTGTGCCTCACGCTCTCACTTCACAGACGCTGAAAAAAACCCAACAAAATCTCCTTTTGTTGGAGAAATTTACCTTAGAAGAAAAAGAAAATGGTCTTATTTTGATGGTCACACAACATCCTGTTAGTTTCACTTATTACAGAAGGATCTCTTTGGGTCTAGGCTCAGTGTTGGGCTGGTAGTAGTATTAGTATGTGTAGTAGTGATAGCAGTGATGGTGTTGTTGTAGTGGCAGCAGCAGTAGTAGTAGTAATTGGTATAGTAGTAGTAATATTTGGTGTGGTGGTAGTAGTACAAGTAGTAGTAGTAGCTGTAGTAGTATTTGGTGTGGTGGTAGTAGTAGTATTATTTGGAGTGGTAGTAGTAGTAGTAATAGTAGTAGTAGTAGTAGTAGTAGTAGTAGTAGTAGTATTTGGTGTGGTAGTAGTAGCAGTCATAGTTGTAGTACTTAGTGTGGCAGTAGTAGTAGTAGTAGTAGTAGTAGTGGTAGCTGTAGTAGTAGTATTAGTTGGAGTTGTAGTAATAGTAGCAGCAGTAGTAGTAGTAGTAGTAGTAGCTGTAGTAGTAGTATTAATAGTAGTTGTAGTAATAGTAGTAGCAGTAATGGTAGCAGCAGTAGTAGTAGTAGTTATAGTGGTGTCGTAGTAGTAGTGGTATTTTTGCTTGTTCACCTAGATGTTTTTGTTGTTGTTTTTTCTAAATGTTTGTATGTTTAAAAATGAAGTACTTTCAGCTTGAACTCATTTCCTGTATTTATAAAAAACTCAGATTATTTTGAAGGTACGTTTTTTAGTGGAGGAAAATCCATAAATCACTCTTCTCTGGTACAAACGCCTGAAACCGTGTGTGTGTGTGTGTGTGTGTGTGTGTGTGTGTGTGTGTGTGTGTGTGTGTGTGTGTGTGTGTGTGTGTGTGTGCGTGAGTGTGTGCGTGTGTGTGAGTGTGTGTGTGTGGGTGTGAGAGTGTGTGTGTGTGTGTGTGAGTGTGTGCGTGTGTGTGTTTGTGTGTGTGTGTGTGAGTGTGTGTGTGTGTGTGTGTGTGTGTGGGGGTGTGAGAGTGTGTGTGTGTGTGTGTGTGTATGTGTGTGAGTGTGTGTGTGTATGTGTGAGTGTGAGCGTGTGTGTGTGACTGACAGCTCAGCCTCGGCTCTGCTCTGGTCCTGTTCCTGAAACACTGACTCCGCCTCCAATTATTCAATTCTATTACCCACAATCCTCGGCCTAAATGCCAGCGTCGCCGTCACTTTAATGATGTTATTTTTCATTCAAATGGCATTTCTGTTGTTTGTGCGACGCTCCAGTGGGAGAGGCAGGGTGTGTGTGCGTGTGTGTGTCAGCTGTGGCGTTGTGTGGGTATGTGTGTATCCTGTGTAGTTGTGTGTGTGTTACTTTCGTGCATGTGTATCTTATGTGTGTGTGCAAGTGTATTTTGTGTGTGTATCTTTGAGTGCGTATGTATCTCGAATGTGTGTCAGCTGTGGCGTTGTGTGCACGTGTGTGTGTAAGTGCGTATATCATGTACGTATCCGTTCGTTGTGTGCATGTGTGTGCATATTTTTTGGTGTGCTCGTCTGTGTATATTATGTGCTTATGTTGTGTGTGTGTAT